CAGGTCATGTGTGCCGTGGGGGAGAAGTTTTGCAGAATACAACTCTCCTCCCTAATTCCCTCCTCAAGTACGATTCCCCTTCCCCATTCAAACTCACTATCTTCCTAGATCTTCCCACTTTTCAGGATTTTTTTTAATTATGAAGTTTTTCCCCCTCCCCAAAAGGTTGGATCTCTTAGAGAATGTTTTCAGTTGTTGACTTTTCTCGGTTTTTCCTGTTTCTTGCTATGTACTTCCCCCCTTCCTTTCTCAACCCCTAGTCCGCTAAACAGCAAGTTCCTCCCCCTCCACAAAAGGGTTGCTTTGCTGTTTAGCGGGCTAGGGGTTGAGAAAGGCGGGGGGGGGGAAGTACATAGCAAGAAACAGGAAAAACCGAGAAAAAGTCAACAACTGAAAACATTCTCCCCTGAGGCAAATACGACTCCACCCTGGCGCCAAGTATGGCCCCCTCAATCCCGTCAGCGAACACATACGACCCCTCCCCCCCCCTTAACTGGGGACCCCCACATTCAACGTGCCTGGTGGTAATTTCCTGCGAGTTTAATCCTCAAATGAAGCAGGGCTGTCCTGTTTGGGAGGGGCCTACTAGTTCTTGACTACTAATAGGACTTACAGGACTTACCTGGTGAGACTCGTGAATTGAAAGCAGCGAAATGGTGGAGCAGATTATGCCCTACTTTGGTCACAGGGATCCACAGGCCTTCACAAGGTGGCCCATATTGACTTCGCTGGATACCACTCGATGCCCCCACCAAGCCGAACAGCGCCGAATAGCAGTGCAAAGTAAAGTCGGGAAGAAACCTATTTGAAATGGGTTTAAACTAACAAATGCGTAATAGTAAGGCTGGTTACCTCCACATAAGCACAGAACGGATGCGCTTCATGAGCACTGGGTTTTCTAAGAGTCAATTACCTCCAGCCAAATCTAGAATTTCGGAAACAACAAGCCTCAAAGTCATTCATATTGAATTTAAAACATGACTATTGAGCATGGATCATTTGTTGCTTGAGCAAAGAAGGGTAAAAAACGCAAAAAACGATTGCTGGGGAGGGCTAGCACCTCGGCGCCATCGGCCCCCTCCGCGCTAAAGGTGCGTACGCCGCCGTGGTCCTGCATGGAGAGAACCGGGCACGGCCATGCATTGCAAAAGGAGCGACATATCGGACGAAATTTGCCGCTGATTTCCCTTCTTTTCTTTTTGTCAATATCTTTTGGGGATTGTGCACTTAAGACACTATAGGTCATAGGAATGCTTCGCCGAAACGATTTTCTTCCTACCAATAGAATTTTGAGCACTATCGGTGTTTCTTCGTGTTCTTTCATCAATTGTTTCTTTTTTTACTTTAATTTTATCGTACAGTAATACTGATAGCCCATCAAAACCAGTTACAAATATAAGTCCAAGGAACCGCTGTTTCTTTCGAACATTATTTCAACAAAACTGATTTTTTCAGTTCAACAGAAACGAGAGTAGTTGTAGGTCTATGTTTTGCCTGTAATTGAAATCCTGCGATGCGAATCTTGAATTCGATTTGGTAGTTTCAGCGTAAATGTGAAGGGTAGAAGCAAGAAGCTTTGATGTCTTTTGCAGTAAAACTTTTTAGTTTTTGGTCGTACAGATTTGGGGGGTGGGATGGGGAAACCAAGGGGGGGGGGATTAGGGTGCTCAGGCTCAGGAAAGTGACAGCAACTAATAGGGACAAATAAGCACCGGTAGAAAGGGGGATTACCAGATTCACAGTCTGGCTTTGATGAGTACAGAGGGAGGACTACGCTTTCGCTCGGCTCCCGTTTAAGGGCACGTGCGAAACAGAAGCTGAGCTGTCTCTTCGTTTTCAATTTTCAATATTTCTCATTTTTCAACACGATCTACTAATCCTACTAATCACTTTCAGCGGTTTTTCTTTACAATGATTTTCCTTCTTGGTGTCTTCATGTTTTCGCATCTAGAACAAAAAGCATTATTCAGTGAAATGTTTTGGGAGAATGGAAACAACATAAAAAGTTTGCCTAAAAGTAGTTTGGTTTTTGTTCTTGTTCATGAAAGTAACACGAATGTACTATAACTCGCTGAGAGTGCGTTCACACTTTGCGTCGGCGTTTTGAGCGACTAAGAAAGCATATGGTGTAATTCGCTGCGCACGGTTGGGCGTGTCAAGAGGATGAGTTTGGCGCGATGCCAAATCCGTTCTTCGCCAGTTGTTGAAGCGAGCAAATGATATGACTGTATTATCGTTCGTATGTTTTTTACCACTTTATAGCATGCGCGCTACAAGAGGAAGGCAGAGAGCGGCTTTGACGGGGTGACACACTCATACTGCTTGACACGCCCAACCGTCCGCAGCGAACTAGGGTGCACATATTAGCTACCGCTGCGAGCGTTGGTCGACGCTCAAACGCTAGTTCAATATCTATACTCTCCTAGTCGATTAAAGCGCTAACGCTGACAAAAAGTAGGAATGCCGCTCAAGTGTGTGTCACGAACATCGTAGCGCCTTGTGTAACCTCCTAGTTCTGTGATGTGGTGCAGTGGCTGGGTCACAATGTTGAGTATTGGTGGAAGTATGGAAGTGATAACTGCTCATATTTGTGATGAGCAGTGTAGGAAAGGAAGGGCTACCGGGTGCTAGACCGCTTTGCAGCATTTGTAAGTATTTCGGTCTAACAAGTGAATTAGGGGGATGGAGAAACTAAAGGGGAGCGGGTGGTTGAAAATGATAATCAAGAGAAGGCCACCAAATTCACAGCCTGGGTCACAGCACCAACTGCTACAAGCAGTGCTATAGCGGTGGACGGGAACATTACTGGCGGACGACAAAAGGTGGTAACAGCTGATATCCCGATAAGCGCAGCGCTTAACAGAGGAAGGTCCCAAATTTATTGCGCGGGACACAGCAGTTGTGGAACCTTGTTCTCAGGAAGTTCTACAGAGGACGCGTGCAGGAGCAGAACGCTTCACGGGCAGTGGGGCATGATGTGGTAGCACGCTTTGGCGATTAGGCACGCAATAGTAAGATGCTTTGGCGGCTAGCTTGACGGGTTGATCAAAATCGTAAGCTATGAGAATATTTCCGAAGCCTAACCGGCGAAAAAGCATTAATGAAGGGGTTTTATTTGGTACTTTCTATAGGACCTGACATCCCATGATGTATACTCGCTGCGGATGAAGTCAGGCAGCATGAGTGTGCCAAACCAGTTCTCTTCCAGCTGATGAAGCGGGTATGCGACAACAATTGCAAGAAAACCAAAGATACGAACGTTATTATCCAGTCTTGACACTTGCTCAATAACTGTTAGAGAACGGGTTTGGCACCGCGCGAAAATCATCCCAGCTGACACGCGCTTTCGTCCACAGCGAACTAAACTATACTTCAACTCAGCTGAAGATTACCCTGTGATTTTCGCAACAGCATGCAATAGCCACACTTGTATGAAAGAAGAATTGAAAGTTTTTCCTGCATTGATGTCCACTGAGTGTATTTTCGGTTTCCTTTGTTTGTTTCCTCCCTGATAACTCGATTAGAGCGTGTTGATACTTCGCGCGATCCAACAAGGTCTCCCGACAAGTGAAACTCATAATGGCGCCAACTTTCTGTTTTTCTCTGCGCTCTCACGTCTTCATGGCGTTTAGTGACCGCTGAAAATTTCCACATTCCCATTTTTCACGCATAATAAGTGGCTCATCCCCGGTGTCCTCTCCCTTTGGAGAAAAACATCTCCTAGCTCGCGATATGTTTTTATACTTCTGGATGCCTTAGCGCCCGTAGTTTTTTGTTTCTTTGCGCTCCGGCCTTTCGCAGCAGGACCCCCACCTCTGATCGCGCGATCCAAGAGATCTGATCTCGATGAATGATACCTTATTACCTTGTATCCTATTTTGCGTTACTCCACTCTTTAAAACTGTCTTTAAAAAGGGTTTGTTCAGGTACTTCATTATCCTACCCTAAGTATCACAGTGTATATCATAGTAGTATACCCTAAGTATCACGGTCACACTGTCAGTATCATCGTATTTTTGAGAATGGGAATGGCTGGCTGATTCTTTTTCGGGAGCAAAGCACATTATCGCGTAGTAAACTGAAGAAGAGCTATTTCAAATCTAATGTACTGGATTTTTAATTGTCTCTAATGCGGCTCGATCAAAAAAATGTCGTGTTTTCGTGTTTTATTATCTTAACACGTTGGCGACATTGCGTCCCACTGCTGGGACGCACCTTTTTTGCCGCGTGGGACATTGCGTCCCACTGCTGGGATGCGGCATGTGTAAAAGACCAATTTGAATACGTTTCAAATTTTTAACAGATACATATTATAGAGGAAGTCATTGTATAATATGCAGTAAGTGTAAACAATGCAGTTGTGTCATTGAGTGTATTTTACCAAGGAGGCAAACGAAAGTGATTCCTTAGGAAAAAAAAGACAATTTTTGCATTTATAGAACTGGAGCTCCACAAGCAGATAGCTAATGGGATAAAGTAACTTTCGACAATAGCAGATCTGGATCGAATCGATTTACCACCTCTGCCGCAAAGTTATTCCTTTTTTGCGACCCCTATTTCCACGTCCCACGTGAATGAGGCGGGAGAATTCTATGGAAATTTGCGGGTTTATCTTGGAAGTAATGGAAAGTAGCGAAGTTTTACTAGCTTCTGCAATGAATTCTTATCATTCTTCAATTGTTTTGGTGGCATAAAAGCCCTAGCATTTATTGCGCACTCGTCAAAAAAATAGGAAAAAACTGCTTTGTCCCACGCGGCAGACACGCGAAAAAGGGCCGCTGTCGCCAATGTGTTTAAGCAGCTCTTGTCTTTTTGCCCAATAACTCAGCTTCTTGTAAATACAGTGTGTTTTCTAAGCAGCGTTTAGACTTCGCGACGGCAGCGCCTTTCCGGTAGCGCGTTCGACGCGTTCGACGCTGCTTTCTACTGTATTGATAGCGCCGAACGCGACGCGCGAATCGAAGCGCTGGCGTCGCGAAGTTTGAACGCTGCCTACTGTCATGATGATGGTACAGGTATGTCTTTCCGAGGACGAGGAGGAGGTGGAGGTCGAGGAGGTGGACGTGGATTCCGAGAAGGCCGCGGATTCCGAGGAGGCCGCGTGGTGGCCGGTGATCGCTCTTTTAATCAAGGACCCCCTGAAGAGGTACATTCATGTTGATACACTTGAAATAACAGCTGCTTCAGTGGCCAAGTTTAGGTTGTTGAAGTGGAGAATTCACTCACACTTGTGAAGACGATATTGTACTGCAAATGCACCTGTGGCAAGATTCCCTTCTTCAATGCTCCGTTATATTTACAAAAACAAAGAACAGATACGGAAAAATCGACGAAATCTTTGGCAGTTTAATGGATAATGTGAGTTATCGTGGCGTTGTGCTGTCCGGGGCTATTTGGAACTAGCCATAAATATTGTAAAACAAAAGCAAGAGGTGCCAAGATCCACTGCAAGGAACAACTTGAGAGGAGCCTACAAGCTCTATCAATTTTTCACCCGTTGTTTTGGCGCTCATACCTTCCTCTGCGACGTGAAATATGATATATTGAAACACTAAATGCTTTGAGGCTGCGTTCATACCGTGCGACCGCGTCGTCAACGTCGACGTAACCGACTAAAGTGACGTAGTCGACGTTTTTGACGACTAGTTCGCGTAGATTATATACGTATCGATCTGACCTAACGGACAAAACCGACGGACCGACCGACGTTTTTGACAACAAGATACTAGATACGTATCGATCCACCTGTCGACGTAATTGACGTAAACGACAGAAGATTAGATACGTATCGACTGACGTCGAAGACATCGGTTACGACACTTACGTCAGTTTCGTCTCTTTCGTCGGATCGATAGGTATCTAATCTTCGTGAAGTAGTCGCCGGTTACGCAGCTTTCGCCGGTTTCATCCGTTACATGGGTCAATGCGTATATAATCTTCACGAACTAGTCGTCGAAAACGTCAGTTACGTCGAAGTTGACGACTACGTCGCACGGTACGAACGCAGCCTTAAATAGGTGCTATAATGCTTGACCGACTTGGATCCGCCGCAGCTGCTTTGAACTAGGCTGCCGTAAGGGTGGCAACCGGCGCAGAGCAGGTGAGAGGGTCCAGATCAGTTGAGCGAGGTGATATCGTTTGAAATGTTGTCAAAGTTAGAGTTTAGACTGAACTTTCTGGATAATGTATTTCGGCTTACTGAGAACGCGTTCATATTTCGCGATCCAATCGCTTGAATCGCGTAAGGCTGCGTCCACCAGCGTCTACCAGCGACCAGCAGCGTCCGCGAGTGGAGAGTATGGGGCGATAGGAGGGTAGCAAATAGCTGACCATGAGAGTATGGACAGAAAGGAGGCTAACAGACTGCTGGAAGAGAGTTTGGCGCGATAGGAGGGTACCAGCTTTTTGCTACCCTCCTCACCCGGACGCTGGTAGACATTGGTGCAGGCACACGCGAGTAGAGCTAGATCGATTGATCCCTAGCCTTTGAGACGGTACTGGGGTGGTTGCTGCAGTAAACTATAAACGCAGTCTAATTGTATCGCGAGAGTGGTTGTGTCGCTTGGACCACACCATCAGAGCGCGAAGGTGCGCGCTCCGAGTAGGCAGCTAAGCTCTTCGTGAAAACTTGCAAGAGCTTTTTGGCTTTATTCAAATTTTTAGAATTTTTTGCGAAGGTTTTTGGCACCTATTCATGTGTTTCACAACATTTAATTAGTTGCCTGGTTCATAGGCAACTAAAAGTAAGGGTTTCTCGTTCGTGTATCTTTATTGCAATTTTCGAAACAATGTAAACTTTTGCAGGGTTTCTCTGTTACCTTACAAAATGGCGTTAAGGCTGCCTCATTCAAAGAGGGGCAGAAATTGTATATTGACCCAGCAAAATTGATGCCTATAGAAAGGTAAATCTTTTCCCTCAAGGAATTTGAAATGTAAATATGTCACCTCCCTATTTTCGGTATAGATCGTCTTAAACTTACTCTGTGAATTTCAGGTTTTTACCAGGAGCTCCTAGAGGGGGACGGGGTAGAGGCGGGCGTGGTGGCGATCGAGGCCGAGGAGGTCGTGGAGGAGATCGCGGAGGTGGGTGACTTGAAGACTTCTTTTTGAAGCTCTTAGGATTTTTCTTTTCAATTTGGGATGCAGTATGTGGTGTAAGTTGTGCCGCTATCATGAGTCTCATTTTGGGGCTGATCCCGGATCGGCTCTCGACCGGGCCAACAGCTTTCCATCCATTGGTTGACGGTAAGTTGGTACCAGATTTGCCTGGGAGGATGAAAACACCTGACCTGTGCTCCTCCAAGATAATGGATAGACCATAGCACATTCACAAGACCACTACGACTTTGTAGAAGCAGAATGCGTGCCACACTCCAACAAAGCATTGATCAGTGGCGAAATTTTTACCTTCTATTGTTCTAGAATCACATTGTCAGCC